ATGTCTGAAAAGTCTACTTACTGATAAGGGAAAATCCAAGAATATATGATCAAGTTTGAAAAAATAAAAGCAGGTTGTGAAATATAACTGAGTCAAAATCAGAATGAACACACTCAATAACCTCCCTCTTCTACTCCTAAAACATAGAATTTATAGATATTTTAAAATTTACATAGTAGTACTTGGAAATAAGCACAGGGAATCAGATCAAAAATAGACAGGGTTCCCTAAAAATAACTGAACCAAAAGATGGGACTCTACAATTTCAAGTAGAAATCAAAGCCACAAGGTCCATGGACGGATGGGTCCATTATGAGCCATGGGAGCAGAAGTCCCAACATCCACCAGGGGACGAGGGACAGAACCGTGCTGCTAGTTATGAATGGGGTTGAAACATCTGCACCGTCCACCATGAGTCACAGCCAAAAAGCATGCTCCTGTCTATGTCCAGGAGCCAAAATTAAGCCATCCACATGAGACTGGGACCCAAGCTTGCACCATAGGGTATGTAGCGCAGGAAGACAGCTCTGATCTGAGCTGTTGATATGAGCTCTGATTTAAAAGCACACACCCTTGCAGATAGAGGGCAGGAGAATACATAAAACTGCTTTGAAAATAAGTTACAAACACAAATTAGGGAATATCTGAGGACATCCAATGATCAGACTCGCCCAATAGAAGAATTCATACCTGAAGAAACAAAGATGCTAGAACAATCAGAAAAGGACTTTATGACAAGTATTTTTTAAATCCTCAAAGAGACAGAGGTGGTATTTACATCCACAAGGTAAGAAGAGCTTTTTATAAATCAAAAAAAGTGAGAAGGCATGAAAAGAAACTAGCTATTTATCTTGGAAATAAAATAAACCATTGTTGAAATGAAAAACTTAGCAGATAGGCAAAACAATAGACCAGACACAAATGAAAAGAGCTGGTTAACTGGAATATAGAATTGAAGAAACCTTCCCAAACATAGCACAGAGAAATAGAGAACTAGCGGGCAAAATGTTTAAGTTAATGTACATGGAGGATTGATGGAGTAGCTACGTATGAAGACAATAGAGATCATCTTGGAGAGGAAACATCCAAGAGATAATGGCTGAGATTTTTTTCCAGAATTAAAGAAAAACTGAATCTTCTGACTAAGAAAGCCACAGAGTGCAAAGTACAATAAAGGTAACCATATAGACAGTATAACCCTGAATTTATAACGAAATAAACACAGCTTGAAAGAAAATAGACCCAAGTGTCTCAACAGTGGTTACTCCTGATGATAGGATTTAGAGGGAGATTTTTATTTTCTTCTTTAAATTTTAATGTATTTTCTAGGTACTCTGCAATGAAAAGACGTTTCTATAAACTGTCTGTAGAGAAGGAGTATTTGTTATTTCACATACACATAAACGTACTTAAAAAAATATCTGTCCTCAGGGAACTTGCACTCTAGTGGAGGAGATGAGGACATAACACCTAAAGCATTAACCCACATGGATAGATGTAGTTAACATCTGAGCCTTGCCTTTTCCCCTATGAAAGAGTTAGAAATTTCTAAGAGGGACGGGGAAGGAGGAGGTAAGGACACTGAGCAAAAACATATAGGACTGGTGCATATGCTTGATTTATAGGGGCTGCTACTGCAACTTCCATGTATTCCACTTGGACAGGATCAAAATAGCCAAACCAAGATGTGGTTAGAACTTATGTACAGCAATCATTATTCCCACCTCTAACTTAATTATATCTCAAGACCACCCACTGATAGAAGCAGAAATTAACATCTTCACTGTAAATTCAATTAACACCACAAAAATCTGTCACTTGACACATTTCAATTACTATAAAACTTTTTTTTTCCCAAGGGCCAAGTAGTCTGAGGGGAAGGTAAAATGGTAGGGAGATGTATTCAATGTAACTGATAATCGAAGTAAGTGCCATGGTTATCCACGGGGGCACTATCGTGTTACCAATTTCGAAGCGAAAACACAGTTATGTTCTGGGCTTTATCAAGTGAATGTCATCACAGGCGGAAACAGAGAGGCCTTGTCAGAGGTTCAGACTTTGTGGCCATAAACACCACTGGCAAACCCGACCAAGCAAGGTGGTCTGTGTCTTCAGAGCGAAACAAACTGCATTCAGCGTTCGGCATTCAGCTCCAAAAGAAACAGGTGGCAAAGGCACTAGCCAACTTGATGTGCTACTAGGCTGTTCATGTCTCAGATGATCTCTTTTTTTTAACACATCCAGGTTTTTTCAAAATACCACTCTCTAACCCAATCCTTCTCAACATCAGAAGCACATTCCATATGTGGGGCCCAACATGTACCCCAATATTGTCCCTACTGACATATTTGATTCCCTACCATCAAGACCAACTCAGAAAGCCCCAGTGATGAGAAATATACAATTTCCTTCACCATTTTTGAGTCAAGGGATCTTTTGTTCCTCTCTTCTCCACCCCCTCTTAAATCTCTCTCTAATCTTGATTTCTCTGAAAATGTTCTTTCTCATCTCCCTCCTGGCATTTCCTGATTCCTTTTTTCTTTTAATCCTCACTTGAGAATATGGTTGTTGTTTTTTATTTATTTTTAAAGAGAGAGAAAAAACATCCATGTGAGAGAGAAATATTGATTGGTTGCCTCCCGTAAGGGCCCCGACCAGGATCCAACCTGCAACCTAGGTATGTGCCCTGACCGGGAATCGAACCTGAATCTTTTGGTGTACCGGATGACTCTCCAACCAACTAAGCCACCTGGCCAGGGCATCCCTTTTCTTCTTTACTCTCTTGTCCAATCCCCAGAAGGAATTTTCACTCCAAGGAGAGGAGAATGCTTCCACCCATAGCTCTTGGACTTCTCAAAACTCTCTTCCTTACACCCTGTTCAAGAGAGGAGCAGCTGCTGGTAGTAAGTCAGAGCCTGCCATTCACAGTGGGAAGGGTCACTGCCTATCAAGGGAGTGCTCAGCTATGAGCCCATTCCCTGTTCCTGCTGCTTCGCCTACAGTCGGATGTATGAGTCAGGAGAGAGCCTGAGCCACACACCTGCCAGCTCTGACATCCCAGCCTGAGTGAGCCTCCAGCCACCTTCTCCAATTCAGCTTTTATCAGATTTCTCCACTGATTGTGCTGGGCCTTAGTCAATCCAGAAATTTCACTTTCAATATGGCTATTGTTTTCTGTGTATTACTCCTTTGGTCAAAACTTCAGAAGGGAGGAGGTATTGGTGGTAATGCTTAGATACTAAAATCCCTGCTGGAAAATGCTATTCTCCTCCTTTTTAATATCTTCATCGGAAGGCTGGTCACTCCTGCTAGTCACTTATGTGCAAGCTCTGTGGGCTCTGATTTGCTGCACCTTTCCATGGCTCAGTACCTCCCATAAAATGAAATTCCTTGACCCTCCTGAAGATGGGATGACAAAGTTAAAGAATAGGCTTGACTTTGGTAGAATGTGAGATCTACAGCTTAGGACCAAAAAAAACCAGAGATCTAGTTCCATCACCCACTGTGTGGTCTTGGCCCAGTCTTTAACTGCCCTACGCCTCAGTCACTTCACCGAAAAGTTGCAGGGTGTTCTCGTAGACTCTAAGTTCTAAGTCCCTTTCCAGTTCTGAAATGGCTCATCCCTTCGTGGCAGGGCACCGCTGTTCCCTACTTTTTTCATGCCAGGAAAGAACCCCAAAACTGAGAAGTGGCTGGGAAAATGCTCAACCACACACAGGAATTTTGCTAGGCTGCAAACCATTTTAAGTGAATGTTTAATAAGATGCTGCATCAGTTATGTACTTGGGCTGAATGTACTGCAGCCCAGGAGACCTGAAAGAATTAATACAGTTCCCAAAAGAGCTGGTGGGAATTGCTGAGGCAGAGGCAGAATCTGATTTGATGAATTGAATAGAAAGTGCTTTGAGAGCATCAGAAGGAAAGCACTATGACACATCTCTGCCCGCTCCATGAAGATGTCTCCTCCTACCTAAGGAACATACTCCAAGAAGGTCTCAGGGCTGGGGGCCACGGCACACAAGTACATTTATCCTTTCCTCCCCTTCCTGACTCCCTTTCGCTTGCTGGAGCTTAAACAGAGGTACAATGCACCCACAACTCGAATCCTTCCTTTTTTTCTCACTTCTCTCTTAGCTTCTTCCTACTGTCTTCAGTCCTTCCACTTCTGGACAATTCTCAAACCAAGCCCTCCTAATATCTCACTCAAATCTCCAAGTCTCTCTCCCCTCTTCTCCCAACCAACGCTCCCATCTGGTCCACAGAAAGACCCTCCCTTCTCATCCTAAGCCAAGAAATTTGGACACACCTTTCTTCATTCTGACACTCTCAGACTTCAGTACCAAAACCCATCCTTGGGTGCTAACCCCTCCATCTGAGGGCCTTGGAAACCCTTCCAGCTCCACCCCAGGAACAAATAGGAAAGCGTCAGGCCCTCCATGCTCTGGGTCTGCAGTCAGTTCTCCTCTCTGCTCACACCCACTCTGCTAGAGGAATACATTCTTGTGGCTGTTCGGGCTTCTCAAACTTTCCACCCTTCTTGGGGCCGCGGAAGCATGACGTTTCTCTGTTCTTTTGTGCTTTACCTAAAAACTTTGCATTTTGTTCCACAGCACACCCATACTTAATCCTTTTTGAAATAGTTTTAGTCACCACAAGAGGGAAAAAATGGACATTTTCCACAAAGCAACCTGGTAACGTTGATATTATATGAATGTAAGCCATGTTGTTTCAAGTGGCCCCAGGCTTGTATCTGTAAACTGCTTAGAAATCTCCAAGCGTTCCACCACCCTATCACACTTCTGTGTTTTCCAAGTTCTTCCTGGCACACCCAGAGTGCCTCTCTGAGTACCCCACTTTCAGACCCAAGACAAAAAGCATTTCCATTCATTTCTGGGCTGGAGAGGTGGGACCTGGTTCTCACCAGAATCAGTGGCCACAACACCCTGTCATAGCAAGAAGATACCAGGGGCTCCCGAAGACCTTGGGTGGCTGTCCTATGACTAGCGCACTCCGGAGTCCTCGCAGACCATCGCTTCCGGCCTTACCTTATCAGCCATGATCATAGATGCGCCCCCGTGGATGCCCAGGATGGGGATGAAGGTCTGTGAGGAGATAAAATCCAGCATCTGGGCCACGGCCTCCTGGTCGGTGTCGTCCCCAAACACCAGGCCGTGGATGCGCGCCCCGGACATGAGGTCGCACACATGTGTGATGAGGCTCTTGGGGTCCGTGCGGTTCATCAGCAGTGCTACCACGTTCACGTCCAGGGGCAGCCCAGTCGCCTGCTCCGGGCCCCACAGGTTTCGCAGTTCACGTTCCGTCACGTCGTGGCTGTGACCCAGCAGCACCGCGATGTTCAGCGCCGGGGTACCCTTCGCCGCCGCCGCACCCTGCGCCGGATGGCGCCAGACCAGAAGTGCCGGCAGCACCAGCAGGGTCCAATAGCCCAGTCTGCCCATAGTCGCCACTTATGGTCCCTGCAAGGTGGAGAGGGAGAGCCAGGGCTGCGGTGAGGCAGGGTTCCAGACCCCTCCCCTTGCTCTACCAGCCAGGTAGAGAGCCCCCCCGCAGCGCAAGTTGCCCGAGTCACCTACTCCATTCCCGATCCCCGACGTCATCCACGTCACTAGACACATCGCCCACTCTATCCAACTCCAATCCGAGCTAATTCTCCAACCCTGGCGGTAAATCCATCTTCTCATCCACCCTCCTTCTCATGCCTCAGTCGCCATGCCGGACTCTGCCCACATCTCCCACCGAATCCACCAAGTTAGTTGCGGACCACCGCCCTTGAGCGTAGGCGCACAGAGCAAACCTGTCACCCACTCCTCTCCCACGCCGGCTAGAGCGGACCAAGTTACGGATCCCGCCCCCTGCTCACAAGGAGCGAACTACAGATCAGCCGGGCGTGCGGAGGCGGCGTGGAGACTAGAAGCCGGGCTCCAGCGCTCCGGCGAATTGACTGACCCCGCCCCCTGCGAACGCGCGGGACGCAGCGCAGACCTGGCTCCCTGCGGCACCCGCTGCGGACCCCATTCCTCTCCCGCAGGTACAACCCACGAGCTTGCGAGTGAGAACTCTCCCTTCTGCGCTCCAGTCTCCGGGGCGCCTGAAGGAAGTTAGGGCCCGCCCCTCCTCCCGCTGAGGGGCCCTGAAGAAAGTGCCCCCAGGACCCGCCCCCTACACGCACGGGTTCACACACGTTCTCTTTCACGCGCGCTGTGTGCAATGCAGAATTCCGGAGAGGAGGTCGTCCGCGGGCCTGTGCGTGGGAGCTGGCAAAAAAACGTGTGTGGGGCTAAAGGTAGGCTTCTAAGAAGCTCTCCGACCGACATAAACTGCACAACCCCTCCCCAGGCTTTCCAGTGCAGGTCCTGTTATCAAGTCTTAGGTGCACGTGGGCAGGTGGGGCTCCACTCGCTCACAGGCACGCGCGCATTTCTGCGCACAACCACAGGCCACCGTAATGGTGCCAACGGCCATCCAGAGTCCGCACATGGACTCAGGCGGTGCACACATATACACCGCGCCAGGTACACAGGGGCGCGTGCCTGCAAATACCAGCACAGTCGTGCACGCGTGCACAGGCGCGCGCCCTGGGGCGGGCACTGCCAGAGCCTGGGGAAGTTGGGGAGAACTCGCACCGACCTCAGAGCTCTATGAGTGAGCACTGCGGTGCCGCAGCGCCCCCTGGTGCTCCTCTCTCGCCTAGCTACCGATACTCCCTCGCCAGCTTTCTCTCTCCCTCTCTCCCTATCCTTCTCCCGCTCTCGCTTGGGTCGAGTCTTCCTCCTCCCCATCCCGCCAAGCCCGAGTCTCCCGCTGGGACGTACCTGTAGCCCGAGAAGGTCGAGGATGCAGTGGGGCGCGCTGCGCGCACGAGCATCTCGGCCGCCTCAGCAGCCACCGGGTTTAGCGGGTTTCCGCATGCTGCGGCCCCCGCGCGCTCCCCTGGCTGTCCCGCGCTGCCCGCATCGCCCCCACGGGGGGCGGCTATCCCAGCCGGAGGCTCTGCAGCAGGGCTCTACGAAGATGGGAAGAGACGGGTCAGCCCACGGGTCGGGAGAGCGGGACTGGGGTGGGGGTGTCGGGCTGCAGTCTGCAATGCTCACAGCCCCTATGTGCATACAGGGGGCTCGACAGGAGAGGGGGAGCTGAACCTCCGTGACCAAGACGCCCCCAGACCGGATCCTCAGACCCTGTGGCCCATATGGAGAGCTCCTCTCTAGAGCGCACAGGAGAACCCGGAGCCCCAATTTATCCACCCACGAGAAGCTAACAGGGCACCTCCGCCCTCACCCCCTACCACCTCCCCAGCGCCGGCTGCTGGGAGTTGTGCGACCCGGAGCTGCTGAACGAGGGGGGGGGGGGGGGTCATGAGGTGGGTAGGGGGAGTAGGGGGGGGGGGTATGGCTGAGTTTGCGTTGAGCCGGCAGGAGGAGAGGGGAAGGGAAAAGGACTCGGGCTCCCGCGGTCCCAAATCCCCGAGGGAGGTGCGATCATTCCCATACAACGACTCTCTTGCGGTCCTGCCGCCCACCTCTATCCAGGCCTTCCACCGTCCTCTTCCCAAAGGGGCCCTGCGTCCCGCGCCAGCACTCACCGCAGCCTCTCTCCACATAGTTCTCAGCAGTGGCCGCTCCTGGTCATCTCCAGGGCTGATGGCTGCAGCCGCGACTGTCAGTGCTCATCCGGCCCCATGCTCCGGTTTAAGCCCTGGGCGCCTCCCTCAGAGAGCCAGAGCTCGGTTTCCTGCCCCACTCCCGACAGCAGCTTCCCAGTCCTCTGAGCGCGCCCGAGAGATCTCTCTGCAGCCCAGGCTGGTGTGTGTGAGGACGAGTGTGTGAGAGTGAGTGTGGGAGCGCGCGCGCGCTTGTAACCGGGGATCCCCGCGGTCCGCGGCCGAAAGAGATGCGGGAGGGGGCAGACAGCTCCCTCCAGGCCCTTTGCTGCGGGGCCAGCTCCGGGCCAGGCGTTCAGCTCCCCACTTCGCGGCGGGAGTCCCGAGAGCGCCTGATCACCCTGGTTCACAGCACTGGGAAAACCGGGCTCCCAGGGCGTGCTTCTGCTGCGGTCGCCTGGGAAAAAGAGGAGGAGGAAGACAGGGGCGCCTCCACGCCAACTTAGGGACTTGTTCCCAGTCGGTGAGACGCAGCAGCCCCCGCGAAAGCCAGAGAGGCTTGGAGCTTCGTCGGGCGAAGGCGTCTCCCGCCCGCAGCCGCTCTCCCCGGAGGCGGGCCGAGACAGACCCCGCAGTCCCTTGGCGGCGGCGCGGAGCGCTGCCACCCGCTCCCAGAGCGCACGCTGGCGACAAGGCCAGGATAGGTGGCTGGCTGACAGCGGGGGCGCCTGCGGTGGCGCGCGCCGCTATCCGTGGTGCTGAAACCACGCTCTACGCCCGCTCCTGGTCGTCTGGTGCGGCTGAAGAATCAATTATTCAGAGCTCCTCCGCTACAGCTTCTTCCTCCCCCGGTGCCTTGCGCTGAGTACAGCAATCCCCCCTCCACGCACAGACGTTCTCTCTCTCTCTCTCTCTCTCTCTCTCTCTCTCTCTCTCTCTCTCTCTCTCTCTCTCTCAATTTGTCCCAATGCTTCTCCCTATGCCTTGCCACCCACCCCCGTGCGGGAACCCACTCCTCTGAGCTCAGAGAGCCAGAATCCGAAAAGTAAAGACATCTTGACATTCCCCCACTTGCTTCCTTCTTGTTTTCTAAGTTATACCAAATGAAAATCTCCCCGAGGCCGCTACTTCTAAGCTCCCAGCAGGGGTGAGCCAGAGAGCATGGGACTGCCTGGGTGTGGGGGGCCTGGTTAGCTTGATTTCTGGCCACTGGGCACGAAAAGCATTGTCAGGGGAGGACCATTGCCCCTTTTACGCTCTACTATTTCTCTCCTTCCAATGCCCATCTCTGCTTTTCTCCTCTCATGCCCTAGAAGAAAAGAGGCCTTAAATGCTAAGAGGTTGTGCAGTCACTGTTCCAACCCTGCATCCTCCACTTATCAGCCTGATATCACTTTTGAGCCAGTAACTTATCTTCTCTTTTTCATTACCCACCTGGAAAATGGGGAGGGCAGTAAAAATATCTACTTCTCATGGTTATTTTTCTATTAAATTTATTGGGGTGGCATTGGTCCACCTCTCAGTGTTGTTTTAAAAAGAAAATGACATCACCTTGATGAGCGAGCCAGCAAGGCCTAGCACATAGTAGGTGCTCCATAAGAGGTCTCTTCGGGGTGGCCTAGCAGGGACGGGACTTCTTCCAAGAATACAGATGTGGCTACTGAAATGGAGACAGAAAAGAGGCACAGTTCCTGGACACCAGTGGGTTTATTATTAAGCTGGTTGTTGTATGTTGAGTTCTCTAGAGTTTTGTTATCCAAAAGACAGAGAAAGGGTGGAGAATTATGGAAGATACGTGAAAACGAAGGGTTTTGTGATATGAGGCAGAAAATAGGGAAGGGGTCCCTTTCTTGAGACTGTAATTGGGCTGAGCTGGGTTAGGCCCTTCCCTCGTGTGGAGATGATCATTTCATGGACTTTGGCACAGGACCCTAATTTGGGGACTCACAGGGAAGTTAGGCTATTTTTTTAAAATGAAGTACAAATTATATACAATAAAATGCACTTCTCTTAAGGATTCGGTTCAAGTTTCGAAATTGTTTGCCTCTGTGTGGACCATCACTCACAACAATGTACAGAATATTTTCATTCACCCCCAGAAAGTACACTTGTACCCCTTCATGATTAATCCCAATCTCCCCCCCCCCATAGAAACTACAATTTTGATTTCTAATACCCTATACTAGCTTTGCTCATTTTTAAACTTCATGTAAATTGAATTCTACATTGTATATTTTTTGGTAACTAGCTTTTTTCACTTAACTTCATGTCTGAGGGATTCACACATGTTGCTGCAAGTAACAACAGCTTTTTCTTTTTTATTGGAGTGGCTTTCCATTGTATGAGTAAACCACACTTTGCGTTTCCTGTCTCCTATTGATGGATATGTGGTTTGTTTTAAGAACAAAACAAAACAAAGTACAGATGCTGCACCCACTTTAGATCTCTTCCATCAAAATCTCCAGTGGGGTCAAGTGTGATAATATATTTTAATTTTATAGGCCATCTTGCTGATGCCCTGGTTAATAGTCGCTGCACATTCATTCCTATATATCAGTGTTGACCTTGAAATAGTCTTTGATGAAAACTATTGTTATGAAGAGTTTAAATTTATTTGTAACCGGACTGGTAATAGGGTAGATCAAACAGGTGTGGCCTCTTTTGAGTAGAGAAAGAAGGAACAGTCTGTCTCTAAAGACAGAAACAGGCAGCTGGAGTTGCTCTAGGCTGGATATCTCCCCCGTATGGAGAACCATTTGAGTTAGGCACCTAGGACTCCGCCACACATGTGGAGGCTCCAATAGTGTGTGTGTTATCATATAGCCTGACCCCTCGCTGTGCTGCA